TAATCCGCTGGAATTAGTTGTTCCTAGATACAGGCATACAGCAGTTTTTCAATCCGCTGTAGGGGAGGTAATCAATCGGATTGCTTTATCAGGAATCATAAAATTTCCGGCTGGATAGTAACAAACTTAGATCATATACTAGTATATGATCTAAGGTAACAAACCAGATTGATTTGATAAGAATTTACGCGCCAAATTTTCATTACTGATAATTTTTTGATTTCAATTTWATTTTGTGTATTATTCTATTTTTAGTTTTTACCATAGGACATAGATACCTACAGTAATTCCATCACAATTGAGTTTGACTCGCGTTTTGTATGTAGCGTTTGAGGCGTGCTCAAATAAAAAAATTTATTTTCCCACTTTGGTCATGCGTAGAAAATAAAATGGTTTTACTTCACACATTAAAACCTTATATTTAAATAACAAAATTATATTAGTATACAATTTAATTCAAACTCATTATGGCCATAACTATTCTACTTACTTCAATTGAACTCCTTGTAAGCCTAAAATGACTTTTAAAATCCAAATGGTCATACATATCTGAGACTAACATAAAATTAGTTATACGTATTTTAGAATTTAAAATCGACAAGCGATGATGAAGAATTTTATTTTGTTTATCTAAAGACTTATTTCTTTCATGAACATGTTTTAAACCAAAAAACAAAACAAATAAGGGCGTACTATTGCCCATTTTAAGAATAATTAAAAAATCGGCAATTAATAAACTATTATTGATTATTTTATTAATATTTTAAATATTTAATATATAATAATTATCTAACTGATAAATTTGATAACTGATTGTTATCATAATCACTCATTATTATGATTAGGGCATGGTTACGTAGGTTAACCATAAGTCTAAGTTTAAGCATTAACCATAAGTTAAGTTTACCATAACATTAAGTTTAACCATTTCATCTATTCTGTAGTTTAAGTTCGTGGTTTAAGCACAATAGAAAAATAATGTGTACCTAAATTCTAATCAATCCGCTGGATAAGCTGCTGGATTGGGTGATGAATTTAGGAACACACGAATGTCCGCCTAAATGTTTATTTTTATTGTTCCATGATAACCTTAAACTCAAGATTAAATGGACAAGACCCGAGACCGAAGAAAAACGATTAGAAAACTGTTATCATTTGAAAAAAAAATTTATATAATAGTGTAAAGTAATAACTATATAGTAATACAGTTCTTAAGTTTATTGTTATTTATTATTTTTTTTGATTGTTGTGTTTCTTTAGTAAACTATTTGGTTTTGGTAAATAGGATTCATTTAATCTAATATCTATTATAGTTTTAGAAATATGATTATTGATATTTCTGGACAACGTTAGTGTCGCTTGTACCACAATCTTCAATCGTGACTATCATGGACTCAAATTCAGAAAACGATCTTTTAGAAGAAGACTATTACTCTGTATTGAACCTGCCCAAGTCTGTTAGTCAATAATAAATACAGATATATTTCTCAGCTTTTTATTAGATGTGACGATAATTGTAATACTGAATATTTTAGGCAACACCAGAAGAGATTACGTATGCTTATCGACGATTAAGTAAGATCTATCATCCTGATAAACATGTGGAGGAAGACAAGAAAAAACAGGCTGAAGTGTTATTTAACAAAACTCAAAAGGCTTATGAAGGTATATAACCATTATGTTGGTTTAACTTAATTTTAAAAAAATGTGAATTTTTTCTAGTTTTAAAAGACCCTCATCAAAGGGCAATCTACGACTGTGTCGGGGTAAAAGGTTTAAAAACTGAAGGATGGGAAATTGTTCATCGTACCAAAACCCCACAAGAAATTCGAGAAGAATACGAAGCGTTAGCAAGGTAGAAAACAAAAACATAAATATAACAATGAACATAACATAATTAATTTAATTCTCTATCAGGGATCGAGAAGAAAGAATGCTACGACTTCGAACAAATGCTAGAGGTGTATTTACTGCTAAAATTGATGCTACTGATATATTTGAACCCAACCAATACATAGATTTTGATAATGAGTAATGTTTTTTCTTACTCTCCTAATAAATGTTTTGACTAATTACTTTATTAATTTAGGGATGATAGTTATCTTTATATACCTGCCATTGAGGTATCGTCAATGACTATGTCAATGTCTACCGAAGCACCAATTACTTTACGTGACACAATTGTGCTTAGTGGAAATTTATCATCGCGTTCAGGTTCAGGTATACAATCAAATATATATATATATATATATATATATTTAATGTCTAGTAGATATATAAAAACAGATCTGAAAAGTTAATTATTTTAAATGACTTTAGTATCCAGTAGCTATAAAAGGCTTTTGAGTACCAATGGATGGGTTAAATATGATGTTACTGCTGGAAATGGCCTACATGTGGGTGCTAAAATATTCAAGTAACTATAATTTATTTATAATTATTCTGATGCTGCTTATTATACATTACATTGACTTTAGAATGATAACAAAAACAATATTTGGAACAGTTGAAGGAAGTTTAAATGATATATCGAGTGGCATGTTAAGACCTGTTGGCCGAGTATTGTTAGGCACAAGTTTAGGCCCTCGAACTACTGGTTATATATCTCTTGGTGGCCGTTTAACATCAATTAAACATACTAGTTTATCAACTGAAGTAGAGCATAATACTGAAAGAAGTTACTGTATGTGTAAGCTAGAAATTGGTCTTGCTCCAGCTATAAGTATGTTATATACTTGGAAATTTATTGAACAAGACTTGTTACTAAGAATTTATGCAAGGTATTCATAAGATATACATGTCTAGTACAAAGTACAATATTAATTTAATTGTTTTCTTTTATTTTATTTTCAGAGCTGGTGTCTTGAATTCAAAACTTGAATATGGTGTTGAAAAAAAAGTATCTAAATTAAACACATTCGCAGCTACTGTTCAAATTGATGTAATAAATGGAGTTACGCTTAAATTAAAGTAAACTATTAGTTTATTAATATTAGAATGATTTTTTATTATATCTAGTAAATGTTTAAATTTAAACTGATTTTAGGTTTGTAAGAGCTAGTCAAACATATATTTTTCCAATTCTTCTAAGTCATGATGTAATTGCACCTCCAATATTTTATGCAACTTTTGTACCTATTGTTTCTTGGTTTGTAGCAAAAAATGTTATTTTGGATCCAATAATGAAGGATTATAAAAATAGAGAAATTAATAAACAACGTGAAATTAATAAAAAAAGGTTGGATGTAAAATTATTTTATTGTCTTTTTAAAATGTATATTAATTATATTTATGCTGTTAGAATGGCAGAACTGCGTCAAGAAGCACTGTCAGCCATCAATTTAATGATGGCTACAATGGAAAGAATAGTGAGGGAAGAGACTGAAAAACGTGGATTAATTATTGTATTTGCTAAATATGGTAATGCTGAATTAATAAATCAATCCGGGGAATCGTTTGACAATAATGATACATTACAACCAAACATTATTGATGTAACAGTCCCATTACAGTGTTTAGTTAAGGATTCACAATTAATACTCCACTCCACTACAAAAGTAATTATTGAAATATTTATTAAAAATAATATTTGACCATCCAAATAATAAATTATTTTTATCATGCATAGGTACATTAACATTAACTCAATATACTATTGATTACATTTTCTTGTTTGTTGGTCTGTCATAACTATTTCATAAATTATTAAAACAGTAGCAACTTAAATAATACTGAATTTGAAAAAATATCTCAACAGTCGACCAATGTCAAATTAAATAATTTTACTTTTTAGTAGTAAATTAAATGAATATGTTGMTATTTCAATCTATGAAGTCAGAATTACAAGAAATGTCATAACCAATTTAGATATAGTATATCTGTATATGTATAAAGTATATTATACAAAATTCTCTATCTTTCTCTGTGATAWGTATATTACAAAATTATAAAATTTACTGACGAGTATATCTTATTTAATTAGTTTAATATAATACTTATATTAACTGATCCCATTCCAAGTATTAAATTTTCCAAATAAAGTAAAAAAATACTTATGTATATACAGAGTGTCCCATGAGTAACCAATTGTGACATCTCTCGAAATAATGGCAATATTCTGGTTTTGTAATAAGATTCACTGGGATAAAAACTACTATTATTTCATATTTTGTTTTGTAAAAAAGTTAAAAATATATTTTTTTATTTAATTATTTCCAAAAAAATTGACTATATCAATTTTGTAGAATTTATTTTTCTGAAAATATTGAAATTTCAATATTTTATTTTCATTAATTTCCTGATTTTTAATTTTTTTTTCAGTTTTGAGAAAAATTGCTAATTTTTTAACACCCTAATGTTATCAAACATGTGACTCGCTGCGCCACTTGCATTCCCATACAGCCGGCCGAATACTTTCAGTGTTCCTAATAATTATAAACTTATAAGTTATAATCATATTTTATTTCTTCAAAGCTGGAAAAAATATTATAAATCAGGAAATTAATGAAAATTAAATTTTGAAACGTCAATATTTTCAGAAAAATAAACTACAAAATGGCTATCTTAATTTTTTTTGAAAATAATTAAATAAAAAAATATATTTTTTAATTTTTTTACAAAAACATTAAAATAAATTTTAAAAATTTTAAAAATGATAAAATTGTTGTTCTTATCCCTGTGAATCTTATTACAAAACCAGAATATCACTATTATTTCGAGAGATGTCGCAATTGGTTACTCATGAGACACTCTGTATATACATAAATATTTTTTTACTTTATTTAGACTCTTATTATAAAACCAGAATTTTGATATTTCCATTATTTTGTGTATATTGCAATGGGTAAATCCTTGCGGGATGCCCTGTATAACATGCAAAAAGTAGTAACCAAGAAAACATTTTTAAGATTTTATTTTCAAATTTTAAATTTGTATTACTTCAAAATTGTTTAATCATTACACTTACTTCAATTTTTGCATAGTTAAAATAAAATAATTCTAAACATGAAAAGGTGACTAGTGAAGAAAATTTAGATTATGATGTTATAAAATTTTAATTTAAAATTAATTATAACAATTTTCTCTTGGTCACTTTTTGATGATAAATTATTAATAATAAAAACTAATACTAACCTATATTGTATACAATTTTATATAAAATATTTTTTAGTGTCAGTTACCTGGATTTTATGACCCGTGTATTGGAGAAGATAAAGTATTATATATTGAATACACACACAGAGATCAAAACTATGAAGTAAAAATTAATGATAATGAAGCTTTACGAATACCAAGACCTCATTGTAAGTATAAATTGGTGTTCATTAATTAATTTGAAACCCCCCTTCCATTATTATAATAACATACATATTTTATAATCAAACATTATTCCAAATGAATATTGCTTATTGATAAGTTAAGATGAAAACACTCCTAGTAAAACTTATAATATATTTGACCTTATAAAAATTTAATATTTTTGTTTTAAAAAACCTACAATTATTTTTTATTTCGGTATTTCCATTCTTTAATGTAAATAAAATTATCTTACTAACAAAAAATATGAAATAAATTATAATTATTTCAAATCAGCATTTTAGCATTTTAGTTTAATTAACTTCTATATTTTTAAAATTAAATTTGGTACTAGATGTTTATATTTTTGTTACAAATTTACTAAAATAAATATGTTTTACATATAATA